CGTTTGGCTTCAGGAGGGAAAAAACACACAGGCACAAATTATCGTCGATTCACCAGAAGATATGGGAAAATATGGAAAGTGAGGGGGGAAGGCAAAACCCAGGACATGTAGGACAGTATGGGGAATATTTTTATGTGTGTCTATTAATTTGTGTGTCCCAGGGCCCCTTTTTTTCATTGTCATTTTGGAGACGAGATCGAGCAAACAAGATGAGAGCTCCAATTACGTTCCCTCGGGAGCCACAACAACGCCCTTTGGGCCCCCTCCTGCGGCGTTCTTGGAACGCCCTTGGGCGCTCGTGGGGCCGTCGTGGGTTCTGCTTGGACTTACCTTGGGGCCTTTTTAGGGGCCCGACGCCCAACGAGGGCTTAACACGATTCCCGAGAGGGCCCCAAGAAGCAATTATCGCCCAAATCCCACCAGCCCTCTGGGCGTAATTCGGGTGGACTAGAGCGGTGTCTCTGGCAACCCCCTTTTTCCCCCTTCGTGGAGGGGCTTGCCCCTCCCCCATAACCCCCTCCGCTGAGCCTGGATGGGGGGGGCTCGCGAGGCGCTGGGGCGTCCAAGATGGCCCAAGATTGCTCCAAGAGGGCATCAGAGAGCCCATGATGACCTTCAAAATGTCTCAATATAACCAGGCGGCTCCAGATGGTTCCCAAGATGTCCCTAGAGGCCCCAAGACCGCTCCAATACGGCTCCGAGTGGCCACATTGTTTCCCCAGGAGGCCGCCAAAAGGCCGACACCTTTCAAACACGCCAGGGAAATGAATTGATTATGCCTTCTCGCCGCATCGGTTCCGATAGCCTCTCGAGGCCCCAAGACAACTCCAAGAGGGCCCCAAGAGAGCCCCAAGACGGCCCCAAGAGCGCCCCAAGAACCTTCCAAGAGGGGCCGACGAGGCGATGTTGGGGGCTTGCATCGGGAAATGAGGGTTGGGTCGGATGGATGTGCATCGAACATGCACTGCCTAGAACGGCAAGGGCTGGGTCGTATGGATTCGTGCCGAAATCATGTTGCACATGGTATGCGGAGGGATGGGTCGGATGGGTGCGAGCGGACTTACACTTGTCGCGTTGGATGCAGAGGGTTAGATCGGATTGCTGTGCACCGAGTGTACGTTTTGCATCGGATGGCGAAGGGCTGGGTCGCATGGATGCGCGCGGAGCTGGGGCGACTGGCACAGAGGAGGAGCAGGAGGAGGAGCAGGAGGAGGAGCAGGAGCAGGAGCAGGAGGAGGAGGAGGAGGAGCAGGAGAAGGAGCAGGAGCAGGAGGAGGAGCAGGAGGAGGAGGAGGAGCAGGAGGGAAAGGAGGAGGAGGAGAAGGAGGACCAGGGTAAACCCAAGGGTCGTCAATGATGTTGAAGCTGCTGCACGTTTTAAGACGGATGCGCTGAGGCGCTGAGGCGAGAGCGACTCGCTGAACACCACCACGGCTTCGTCTAGGACGAGTGTCCTGGCATCGCTCGGACGTGTGCATCTTTCCTTCGGCGAGGACCATCGAGGAGCAGCCTCGATCAGTTGGCGAACAAGCCACGCACGAAACTGAAACATTGAAGCATGCACAGGGAGTGGACGCCGAGCGATGGCCAGATGTGTGTGGCGCTCGGGCGAGACTCACATTTTGGAAGCCACCCGGGTTCCCTGTTTGAGGTTTTGTATGAAAGTTTGTTCTTCGGGGGCGGACAGATACCCCAACAGTGGCACGTCGATTAGTGAATTGTCCGTTTTCGCTTCTTGAGAGGGCGCCGTGGCCGCTATTTTCCAGGCTTGCGCCCGCCAGGTTTGGGCCTCAGGTCGTTTTCACTAAACCACGTTTTACTTAAGGGGGGTCTGTCCATCCCTGATGTTCTGGAAGACGAACGTGCGCGGCGTGCAGGCGAGAACCGCATGTTGAAAACCGCTTGGGCTCCGTGTTTGAAGCCCGTGGGAGCCTTGGAGGGCCTCGTGGGGCCCTCTTGGAGGCGGTCGGTCAGAAGAGGGGGGGTCCTCGATGTGCGTCCCCCCAACGGGGGCCACGATCCTCGTGAGGGGTGTCGAAAATTGGCCTTTTCACTGGCCGAACAAGGAGCCTCCGACACTTCGCGAAACCTCCCCAAAAAACCTCAAGGAGGGGAGGGGGAGAGTTCCCCTCCCCGAAGGGAAGAGGGGTTGTGGAAGAAAAAATGAGACCGCCCAAAGGGCTGGTGGGATTTTAAGTTTCAGGATCATAATCGGCAAGGAAGTTTCAGTAGAAACGCATGGCCCTGCCTACGGTTTTGCCGGTGGCGCGACAGGGATGAGTTATCTATAAGGAAAAGGAATGGATGAGGAGGAGGGGTATGAGGAGTGCTTGGAGGAGGAGGAGGAGGAGGAGGAGGAGGAGGAGGAGCGGAGATCTCCTCTCTATTTGCACAGTCGCATTTCGAGCAGGGCAATGATCCCGAAAGAGTGCGCGATGCGTCGTAAAGCACGGCATAGCCGGGCGCAGAAGAGCACGGCAGAGCGTAGCATCTCATAGCATGGCGTGATGTTGCGTAATGAAGAATTGCATCACAAAGCACTGCAATCGCACAGCGGCACATAACAGAACATGGCATAGCATGGCGTTGAAGATCAAAGCATGGCATAGCATGGCGTGGCACTGTGTAGTCAAGCACTGCATATCGTAGTATTGCAGCTGAAGGCATGGCATCGCACACCGGAACACCACATAGCATTGCATTGCATGCCGTGGAATGGCATTGGAAATCATGAGGCCAGCGCTGCAGTGGGAGCACGTTTCGAACGAGCGGAAGCGCGGAAATGAGACCAGCGTTGCAGCGGGGGCACGATTCGGAACATGCGGAAGCGCGGGAATCAGGCTAGCGCTGCAGCGGGAGCACGGTTCGGAACGAGCGAAAGCCCGAAAATGAGGCCAGCGCTTCAGCGGGCGCAATTTACAAAAAATGGAAAATCCAATTCTTGGGAATCCCGCGCGCAAGAAACAGCACGCGGAGGGGGGGCCGGGCATCTTCCGGACGTCACCAGGGGAGAGAGGAGAGTACTTTTCAGATTGTGCAATTGTGGAGGAGGAGGAGGAGGAGGAAACGGAACAGGAGCGTCCTTCCACCCATGTTCCATTGATCGCTGCAGCCCCGCTCCTCCCTGTCGGACAGTCTGGCTGCTTTGCCAGAACGAGGTGCGCCTCCACCGACAGTGGACGATGCTTCTCGGGGAGACCCCCCACACAGGAAGGAGGGGGGGGAAGGAGGACGAGGCGGGGGGTGCAGCTGGCGACAGCGATGTGGAGGTGGACGTAGATGCGAGGCGGGAGGGGGGGGGGGCTCGGGAGGGGTCCGCTGGCCGCCGTGCAGTCGGACTCCCCTCTTCGGCGGAGGGCGTTGCTTTTTAGGTTGTGTAAGGTGTTGTGTCTTGCTCGCGGTGAGCCTGGAGCTCGTCCACTCCGGGCTTCGAGCTCAGGGGCCGCGTGGCTCATACATGGTCGTGAGAAATGTCAAGCGGGGCGAAGATCACGAGCTGACAAGTAACATCCATGACCATACGTCCCTTAGAATTCTTGGGGTGGAATTCTGGGGGATGATATGGGCGCATGTTGTCTGATAGGAGTCCCCGCTCGAACGGGACCGTCCTCGGGGTCCGACAACTCGCTCCCATACCTGTAGCGTGTTCGTCGCCTTGCCCTTCCCCATTCCTCCTCCATATAGGTTTGAGAGTGTGTTGTTCGCTGTTCAGAAGAAGCGCGTTCATTCTCACTCGGAGGACGTCAACTGTCAACCTCACTGATTCTGGCCGGGCCCCTCCTGGGACCAGGATCTGTGTATACGCCCTCCTAGCGAGGCCAGGGTATCGAAGGTTGAGGGCGATGAGAAAGAAAGAAGTGGCCCCAACCGGTAAATTGGTTTCGGCTTCAGCCCGTGTCGCGCGTGCAGGCAAGGCGAAGCTAGGCGAGGGCAACGATGAGGCTGCCGAGGCTAGGGCCAAGTCGGGCACAACGTGTCGCCCTCCCGAGTCCGCCTCGGAGCGCGGGGTTATCCCGTAAGTTGTTCCGTGGGTTGTCCCGTGGGTTGTCCTGCGGTTTGTCCCACGGGTAATATCGTGGGTTGTGCCGTGGGTTGTCCTATGGCTTGTCCCGTGGGTTCCCGCGGTTGTCCCGCGGGGTGTCCCGTGGGTGTCCCGTGGGTTGTCTCGTGGTTCATCTTGCTGTTGTCATGTGAAGCAAGTCGAAATACAAATCCAATGTCAACCGATGTCGATCTAAAGTTGGATTGACATGCAAATCGATCCCCATGCTAATCGGCATGCAAGTTTAAAGGTATGTCAACCGACGCAATCGAGACGCAAGACGAAATCCGCGTTCCGAGTATAAGTCGAAGCACATTCGATTGCTGTCGAGGCGAATACCGACATGCAATTCCGAGGGCAACCGACATGCAATTCGAAATGCGCGTTCCTGTCCCCCAACTACCTTACAGGCTGACCGAGGTATCAGATCGAGGCCGGTTCGGGGAGGGTGCCCTTCTTCGTGTTTTTTGTTCTTTCTTCTGCATCCTGGGGAGGGTACCCATAAATGTTCTGTGTTAACGGGGTCGTCTTCGGCGACACTGGCGGGTAAGCTGCTTGCGTAAGGTCGCGCGTGAGCGTCTTCGTCTCCAAAGTGGCGCGCCGCGCTGGCGGTCCGCGCGAGCCACCGCGTAGAAGGTCGCTGTGCCATCTCGCGTATGACCTGGTTCTTTTCGTCGCCCACGCGGGAGCCAGCAAATTCTGCCGATTACGGGCCCAAGAACACAATTGGAAAATATGGAAAGTGGGGGGAAGACAAAAGCCAAGAAAATATGGGAAAATATGGAGAATCATTTTATTTGTGCGTATTGATTTGTGTGTCCTGGGGCCCCTTTAACCTGGCTCGGAGCCTGGCTGGGATCTCGGGCGCGGAGACGGATGCTGCCTGGGCCGTAGCTGTGAAAGGGTTGTTCTCAAAATTCTTGGCCATGGCTCGGCACCAGCCTCAGCTCCGAGCCCCATGCCGCAGTACGAGGTGGGCGAGGTCGTCGAAGTGTGGAGCGAGTCTCAGCAGACTTGGATACCCGGCGCGAAAATTGTCCACGCACCCCCGCGCGACTGTGAGATCGACAGCTACCAGGTAACGGCCGGCACCGTCAAGGTGGAGCACTGGGGCGACTCGAGCGACTCATCCATGTGACTGTGCTCCCCCCCTCCTCTCGCTCCCCGCTCGTCCTCGGTCCTGGACTCCTGGGCCCCGTCCTCCGCCTCCTCCACCCCCTCGTCCCGAAGGTGGAGTACGAGGGCAGGTCAAAGTGGCTCCCCCCGGACGAGGTCTCGAGGCAGGTGCGGCGGCCACTGGCCGCGCTGGCGGCCGCCCCCGCGCCGCCGCCGCCGGAGCCGCCGCCGCCGCGAGGGGGCGACGTCCCGCTCGGCGGCGCGGGGCCGAGCGGCGCCGGCAGGTGCAAGTTCGGTTGCGGCCGCAGCGTGCAGCCTGGTCTGACGAGGGGCATGAAGCAGTACGACACGTGTTGCAGGCGCTGCGCGCAGAACCGCGGCGGGGGCGACCACGACCCGAACTGTGAGGGCGCAAGCCCCACGGCAGGCACGCTGGAGGCGTGCACAGCGGCCGTCGACGCGCACGAGTGGCTGAAGAACCTGGTGGAGTCGGAGGAGGCGCTCCAGAAGCGCTGCGAGGAGGTCTTCAGAGAACATGCTGGGGAGGCGGAGCTCATGGATCTGGACCAGTTCAAGCTGGCCTCCAGCGATCTTTGCCGCCCAGTGGGTGAGACGCTGGATAAGTATGCAAAGAGACTGCACGAGTGGGCTAAGTACTCCCCGCGCAGTCTCCGCCACCCCTTGATGGGCGCGGGCATCGGCGTCACATCTTTCAAGGCGATGTGTCGCACAATACTTCTTGACCTCTACGCGCATTACTTTCCCCGCGTACTTCCGTTTAAGACAAGCGAGCTTGTCCGGAAGAACACACACGAGCTCACCGAGTTGTACGACATGGGCGATCTTCTCGGACAGGGTTCTTTTGGTGTTGTGTCCATGGTCACGCACAAGGTTTCCCGCGAAAAGCGCGTGTGCAAGAAGATATTTTGCTAGGACAGCCCCCCACCACCATGATCTGTGACCGGCCGCCCCCCCAAGCAAAACATTGTAGAGGGGGTCATCATGTTGGCATCTGGCAACCGCCACCTCCGCTCCTGCACCGTCCACCCCCGCTCACCGCCACCTCCATGGCGCTCCACCCCCCTCCATCGAAGAAGAAAAGACGCCACCAACATTAACTTTTGGCTCTACGCGCGGATTTCTTGGATCCGCGCTGGGCCCCTCCGGCGCCGCCCCTGGCGCGCTCGGCGCAGATCCAAGAAATCCGCGCGGAGCGCCAACAGTTTATGTTTACAGCGGTTTGTCTTCTTCTATCCTCCCGCCATCCACCCTCCTCTTAGATGTTCGTTTTGGGGACCTTCCTGGGGCACACCTAACAAATCTGTTCCACTCCAGGTCGACCCCCTGTCCGACTCAAGTCCGACTCAGATTCGACTCAAGGTCGATTCGAATCGACGGACGTTCGACGCAGCTTCGACGCACGAGTGGAGAGAGTGGCTCCAGGAAGAATTCCCAGAATGAGCCAACTCCTCCTTCTCCCGGCCACCTCCACCCTCCTCCTCCCTCCTCCTCCATATCCCTCCTCCTCCTCCTCCTCCTCCTCCTCCTCCGCCTCCTCTCCTCCTCCCCCTCCTCCTCCTCCTCCTCCTCCTCCTCCTCCCCTCCTCCTCCTCCTCCTCCTCCCTCCTCCTCCTCCTCCATAATTATCCCTCCTCCTCCTCCTCCTCCCATCCTCCAAGTCCTCCTCCTCCCAGTCCTCCTCCTCCTCCATCTCCGCCCCCCTCCCTCCTCCTCCCTCCTCCCCCCTCCGTCCTCCTCCCGGCCACTTCTGACGCCGTCTCCTCCGCCCTCCGCCCTCTGGCCTCTCTCTCTCTCCGTGCCTCCCCGGGCCTCGGGGGCCCGCGCGGGGCCCCGCCGCCGCACGGGGTCCCTTGGGGGCCCTGCAGGATCCGTGCCGTTCCCCTGGCTTTCCAGAGATGAGAGTGCTAGGAAGTAGCCTCAAAAGAGTCAAAAAAAAAATCAAGCAATTGTAAAGCAATAGTCAGAAGTAGTCAATTCAAAGATAGTCAAAAATAGTCAGGGGACGACTTCTTTACCATTTTTGACCTTCCAGAGACCAGAGTGCTGGAAAGCAGCCTTAAGTCGGGCCTGTCCCTCTCGGGCCGGACGAAAGGGGGGGATTGGGAAAGGGGGGGGGGACAAAATGTGCTGCGTATAGCTGGTTTCGGCCTCACCGAGGGGCCCAGTCCTCGATACATGGCCGCCTCTGGCGCCAGGAGGCGCCGGGAAAGTCAGCTACGTTAGCTGATTCTCAACCCTCCCTTTTGCTATCCCCCCCTTTCGCCCGGCGCGACCCTCTCCATTCAAAAAAAAGTCAAAAAATAGCCAGGGAACGATTTCTTTACCATTTTTGAATCGTTTAGGGCACTCTTTGACTATTTAAATTCTTCGTGCAAAATCCGCCTGTAGGGGGGCACGCCCGACCTAAAAATAGCCCTCCAGACCTATAGACCGATCTGGCCTGCTAAAACCTCGACCGGAATTTTACATGTCGAGGTCCTGGTGCTATCCCTTATCCCTCGAGGATGGTCTGGGTTCTCTGGTGGAACGGGCGGTCCGGGATCATGGTGGGCGGAGGGGGGGTTGAGGGTTCAAGACCGTATGTTTTTGGGACCGGGCGATGACCCCTGGATCTAGGACCGCCCGTTTCGCCACCGATTTTGCAAGTTGGGACTCCTGAAGATTTTCCCCAGTATGCAAAAGTTCTCAAAAAGTTACGAAAAGCTGGAAAGTTGAGGGGGCCCTCCAGCACTCTGCGACGTCCATGCCGGATTAACTTTTCACGCTCCCGAAAAGTTGAAAAAAACATGAAAAGTTGATTTGCTGGCGCGCGACCCGGCCTGCGCCGGTTCCGGGGGGGTGGGGGGGGGCGGGGGGAGGCGGCACGACCTACCCCCCCACAACAGTTGAGTGCACGCACTGATGGGGGAGACTGACGGTGAGATCCATAGTTCACTCCATCGCGCCGTCGATGGAGAGATCACTAGCGAGATCGACACTGGCCCATGGTGGTCTGGCCGCTTTCGACTGAGGCATCCTCGCAACTTTGGCCTCGGAGACGCCCTGTCCCATTGCGGTCTGGTCATTTTTGCCTGAGCGGCCTCGCAACTTTGGTTTCCGAGATGCCTTCATCTGCGGTGGTCAGGCTAATTTCGCCGGAGACATCCTCACAACTCTGACCTCGGAGACGCCTTGCCCGATGGTTGTCCGGCCGCTTTCGCCTGAGGCATCTTCGCAACTTTGGTTCCCCAGATGTCCTCAGCTGCTGCGGTCTTGCTACGTTTGCCTGAGACATCCTCGCAACTCTGACCTCGGATATGCCTTGCCCCCTGGCGGCTTGGCCGCTGTCGCCTGGGTTGCGACTTGCCCTGGGCGTAGGTGGTCGGGCAACTTTTGCCTGATCGCAACTCTGACCTCGGGGACGCCTTGCCCCATTGCGGTCCGGCGGCCACTTTCGCTTGAGACATCCTCGCAACTCTGACCTCGGAGATGCCTTGCCCGACGGTTGTCCGGCCGGTTTCGCCTGAGACATCTTTGAAACTCCGGTGTCCGAGGCATCTTTGACTTGAGACATCCTCGCAACTCTGATCTTGGAGACGTCTGGTGCGCGTCTTGTGCACATTCACTCTTCGTTAGTCCACTCGGATTCCTTAATTAACCTTGCGAATCGTGCCGCTGCAGTTCCCCCAAAAGGTTCCCAAGATGGCGCGAAAGGGATTTTGAACAGAGGATGCCCTGACAGGATGCGCCCATTCATGCTCCAAAACGGGCTCGCGACGTCCCCACGACGTCGCCAGAGGATTCAGCATGGCTCCCACGTAGACACCCACTTGCAGGCCGCACGTCCACGAAATGTCTGGCGCCCGCCTCGTGCACCGACTTGTCGGCCACCTGGGAAGTTATTTTCGACTGCCACGGGAAGTTACACATAATTGGGAAAGTAACGTTCGGGCTCAAGAAGAAGTTGTCCCGGCCCCTGGTGAAGTTGAACAAGTTTTTTTCGGCGAGGCCGATATTTGGTCAAAAGGCGGGACAAGTTAAAAGTAACTTCTCGAGGGGGGGCGCCCCGGGGCCCGAAAGTTGCCGAATAGTAACTTTCAGGGGGGGCGAAACGTCGAAAAAGTTGAAAACATGTTAAGGGCTTTTAGGAACAATTAGCAAGTATTCTTGTCGGGGGCCTGGAAAGGTGGAACATGTTGAACAAGTAACTTTCGAAAGTTGCCCCCCCGAGGAGCCAATTCGAAAAAGCAACTTTTCGGGGGGGGGCGCCCCATTTCCCAAAAGTTGCCGAAAAGGAACTTTCAGGACAGGCCTGAATGATGGAAAAAGTTAAACAAGTCAAGGGGTGGTTTGAGAAAAGTTGACAACAGTTGCTTCCCGGGGGCCTGGAAAGTGGGAAACAATAAAAAGTAACTTTCGGAAGGTGCCCCCTCTGTGGGCCCAACTTTCCGGAATTCTTCAGGAGCGCCTATCTCCAAGTCTGTGCCAATCTTGGCCGGCGGAGGTGGGCTCCCGATCCGTCCTCGGGGCCCCTCCTCCCTCCCTGCCGCCCCCCCCCCCTGCTCCGTCCCTCCCGCCCTCCAACCTCGCTGACCGCCCCCCCTCCTGCTCGCGACGGCGGCTGGCTCGCCTGAGCCGAGGTTCCCTGAGGACACGGGACATCGGGCCCTCGGAAAAACTCCATGGAGCCGCGAATTGCCCCGTCGATTTGAGTGGCCGCATCGGTCACTATGAGTTGCCCCCCGCATGGCCCGAGAGGCCTTTTGCACCCAAGGGCCCCAGGATGGCCCCGCGGTCCGACATCATGGTGGACGGGGGGCGGTCCCCTCGTCAAGACTGATT